ACATGCGGAAGGAGGCAAGGGCATCTGGAAGGGAGGTAAGCCCGGAAGGTGGTCGGGGGGCAGCTCCCTGTATGGGGGAGCTGCGCTGGAGGGAACTCGGGGCTATGACGGGGCAAAGAACCATCCGGCAGACACCTGCTCCCCAAGACCACTTTGCCCACAGTAAGGGAAGTGCACCTGGCTCCCAGGCAGGAAACCAGTCCTGGGGCCGGGTGTCCGGTGCTGCAGGCAAGGTTCTCTGGGGGGTTGGAGCAGGTGCCCCTCCACGGGCCCCACAGGGACACAGGCTAGACCTGCCGGCCACTGCCTTCCAAGCCTTGCCCTTGACCTCAGCCTTGATGACCTAGCCATTTCTGGATATGCTTCAGTGGGCTTGACTGACTGTGTGACAGGCCATATAGGCAGAGATGTCCCGGGTTCTGATCAGGGCTTCCCCACTCACGAGACCTAAGTTCCTCATCTTCATGGGCCACTGGGTTCCCGACCCTATGGACCACTGGATGTAGCTCTGTGCCAGTGCTTTCAGGGCTGCAGAAGGCAATGAGGGGCCCTGACCTCAAGCCAGAATGGGGACATGTAAGCTTGTAGGGAGCCGGCAGGCCCAGAGGGCTTTGCTTAGCATCTACCCTGTGGGACAGCCTTCGCTTTGTAAAGGGAAGAGAAATCCCTGAGGGCTTCCTGGAGGAGGCTACATACAGAAAGAATGTTCTGAGCGCCTGCTGTGGAGGGACTGTGGGCACTGCCCCTCCCACCTGGTGTGCCCCTTCTGTGCCTGACACTTGGTCATCCCTCAGCGAAGGGAGGCGTGTTTCTGTCATGCCACAGACAGCAGCTCAGGGAGCCAGAGATGCCATTTCCCTGGGCAGGCACAGGCTGGTCTGCCTCACCTGATTGAAAGACCAGGCCTCAGGTCCATGGGCTTAGTGGCACTGCTGTGGGCACGGCTTCCTCCCTCTCTGGGGCCTCACAAGGCAGGGAGTGCTGGGGCTCTGAGCGCCCACCCTAAAGGCCCTGTGATGCTGGCTGAGGGCAACTGTTGCCGTGGCTGGATCATTATTACCTGGGACCGTCAGCCCTGGAAAGGCCTCAGAAGAGAGCTGGTCTGCAGGTGGGGATGGAGAGCCCTTGGGGACTGGCTGTCCTCTAGCCCTGCCTGGAAGGGCCCTTGAGAACTGTGGAATCCTGTGCTCTTAAAACTTCCAAGAGGAAGCTGGGTCACAAAGCGGCCCGAGAGATCCGTGTGGCTCTGGAGGGGCACAGAAGAGAGGGCGGCAGGCATGTTTGACCCGCAAGTATTAGATTCTCCAGCTGTGATCTTTGACAATGGGTCCGGGCTCTGTAAGGCAGGCCTGTCTGGGGAGATTGGGCCCCGCCACGTCATCAGCTCAGTTGTGGGGTACCCAAAATTCAAGATGCCTTCAGCAGGCGCCAATCAGAAGTGCTTCGTGGGAGAGGAAGCCTTGCACAAGCATGAGTTTTTGCACGTGCACTACCCCATCGAGCGGGGCGTGGTCACGGACTGGGACAACATGGAGCAGCTCTGCAAACACCTCTTTGAGTGGGAGCTGGGGGTGAAAGCCAGCGAACAGCCAGTGCTCGTGACCGAGACCTCTCTGAACCCGCACGAGGTCCGTGAGAAGATGGCTGAGGTGATGTTTGAGAACTTCAACGTGCCCGCCTTCTACCTGTCGGACCAGGCTGTGCTGGCCCTCTACGCCTCGGCCTGCATCACAGGCCTGGTGGTGGACAGTGGGGATGGGCTCACGTGCACCATCCCCATCTTCGAGGGGTACTCCCTGCCCCATGCGGTCTCCAAGCTCTATGTGGCAGGGAGGGACATCACAGAGCATCTTACCCAGTTGCTGCTGGCTAGCGGGAGGACCTTCCCGTGCGTGCTGGATAAAGCCCTGGTGGGCGACATGAAGGAGAAGCTGTGCTATGTGGCCCTGGAGCCGGAGAAGGAGCTCTCCCGGAGGCCGGAGGAGGTGCTCAGAGAGTACAGGCTGCAGGATGGCAACATCGTCCACATCGGGGACCAGCTGTACCAGGCGCCGGAGGCCCTGTTCATGCCCGAGCAGCTGGGTGCCCCAACCCCAGGCCTCTCCAAAATGGTCTCCCACAGCATCACCAAATGTGATACTGAGATTCAGAGGATGCTGTATGGGGAGATTGTGCTGTCTGGGGGTACCACTCTGTTCCAGGGCCTCAGTGACCGGCTTCTGAGGGAGCTGGAGCAGCTGGCTCCCAAAGGGACCCCCATCAAGATCACAGCTCCCCCTGACAGGTGGTTCTCCACGTGGATCGGTGCCTCTATCATCACCTCTCTGAGCAGCTTCAAGCAGATGTGGGTCACCTCCGCAGACTTCAAGGAGTTTGGGCCATCTGTGGTTCAGAGGAGGTGCTTCTGAGGGAGCGCCGGGACAACTGCTCGCCCTTTGGCATCGGCAGGATGTTCAATAAGAGAAAACGGTGCAGTGCGGGGCTGTGTTGGGCTTGGTTCTTTTTGGCGGCACCAGACTTATTTCTGACCCTGGTGGAAAAACCACTCCAAGGCTCTGCACCTGCCTACACTCCCCCCAACTTTCTCCTGAGAAAGCCCTGGGTTATGAGCAGGGGCTGGGTCCATCTGCAGAGTTTTTATGGAAAGCAGGGACCCCGACCTCATGCTTCCTGCTCAAGTCAGCAGGGCCCTGGAATCTGCTTTTTAAATATGTCTTAGACTCAACAGGAAGGGGAGTGCCAGGAGCAAGCTGGCATGCCGCCTTGTCCTGAGGATCAACAACCCCTCCCCTGGCTAGATCCTCAGGGCAATAGGGCTCTCACTCTGTCTTTACAAGACGGAGCAGCTGAGCAGGATGACAGGCAGGAGCAGAAATTGTCATCTGTTTAGGACGCTTAAGGGCCCCTGCTCCCAGGGGGCACTTAAGAATCAATGCGTCTACTTGATTATTGCAATGTGTCTATGTGTTTTACTTTCAAAGATGTTTACAGCATTGTTTGGGGTAAAATACTAGATACATAGGTAATGGCTATCAATAAAGCAACGATCGAATAAATTATGCATGAAAGGAATTTTTCCACATTGCTTTGGTGGAATTCTCCCAGAATATAATTGGGAGAGAAATGGAAAATTGAAGTCTTTGTAAAATGATCCCCCCTTTTTTCGGTAAAGAGAAACAATGTCACATTTCCATGTATATCTGTATCCATTTGTATGTCCATATATAAAGGAATGTGTTTCTATAGGGTTAGAAGCACACAGAGAAAGAACAGAAGGGTAGACACCGCGAGCTGGTGGAGGAAGGAGAGGATGAGGTGATTCAGGAGGAAGGGATGGGGGAAGAGGGAGGGAAAACCTAAAGGAAAGGACTAGAAAAAATTCCACCTGAATGCAATAAACCCATTGATCTAAACGATGTGTGTATTTAAGGTTGGCAAGGTATGTCTTTTCCCATCCTTTTAGTTTTGGACTACTTATGTCATATTTGAAGTGAGCACATAGTGTATTTGAGAACAGAACATAGTTATTTTTTTTTAATCCATAGTACGAATCTCTGTCTTTTAATGGGTGTATTTGGATGGCTTACATTTAAAGTAATCTGTTCCATCTTAAGTCTGCCATTTTGTTTCCCTTATTGCTCATTCCTGTTTCTCTTTTCATACTTACCTGTGGGTTACTTGAACATTTTTTAGGATACCACCTTGATTAGTTGATAGGGTTTTTGAGTATATTGCCTTGTATTGATTTTTTAGTGATCACCTTTGGTAAACCTCACAGTCCACTGGTAAGGACATTTTACCCCTTGGAGTGAAGTGTAGGAATCTTCTGTTTAGATCCCTTTACCCTCCCAAATGTTTAGAATAGAATTGCCTTGTTTCCTCTAAGCATGTTGAGGACAACATCAGAGGTGGTTAAGATTTTTCCTCAACCATCAATGACTTAAGACATAAGAGTAGTCTAATATGGTTACCCCTGTTTTTACCCAGTCCAATGTTCTTTTGCCCTTCTAAAGTTCCAAGCCTCCTATTATTTCCTTTCTGTTTTGAGACATTTATCCACTCTTTATGGATAGGTTTGCTAGCAAACCTTAGTTTTCCATCATCTTAGAATGCCTTTATTTCCCCTTCACCCCTGAAGGACACTTTTACTGGGTACAGAATTCACAGTTAACTTTCCTTTCAGCACTTGAAGAAGGTCATGCAAGTTCCTTCCATGCCGCCCCTGGTTTTGGGTCAGACAACTTCTGTCATTTAACTGCTGCTCTTTATAGGTGATGTGCCACTTCTCGCCGGCTGCTTTCAAGAGATTTTCATGGTCTTCAGTTTTCAGAAGTTTAATTATGATGTGTCTTGGTTTATGTTATTTGGAATTTATCCAGCCTTTTGAATATGTAGATTTATGTCTTTGCCAAATTTGGAACATTTTCTGCTATTATTTCTTCTAACACTTTTTCACTTTCACTCTCTTTTCTCTCCTTTGGGGTCTCTAAAGATATAAAAGTTAGCAATTTTTATTTTCCCCCAGGACCCTGTTCATCATTTTTCTATTTTCTCTGTTCAGATTGGGTAAATTCTGTTTACCTTCCCTGAAATTCTCTAGTCCTATCCTCTGTTATTTGACTCCATGGAGCCCCTCTAGCATATTTTTTATTTCACCTGTAGTTTTCAGTTTGCTAATTCCCATTTGGTTCCCTTTATATAACTTCTAACCCTTTGCTAAGTTTTTATAACTTTTTATAACTTTGTAGCTTTTTATAATTTTTAACCCTTTTGCATTTGCTTCAGGAGAATTCGTAGTTGCTTGCTGAAACATTTTTATGATGGTTGCTTTAAATGCCCAGGTAATTCCAGCGCCTAAACCATCTCATTCTGCCTCAACAATCACAACTGCTGACTCTTTTCATTCGGTTTATGATTTTCCTGGTTCTTGGAGTAATGAGTGATTTTCTATTTTACCCCAGAAACACAGTGTGACTCACATCACCTCATTGCAGATGGGGGGGTGGAGGTTCAGCTCCCCCCTGAAACTTCCTGGACACAGTGGGCACTGGCTAACACCTCCCCAGAGTGGGAGTGAACGCTCAGCTCCCCACTGGGTCTCCTGACACTAGGGAAGGGAGAGAGAGAGTGTCACTAGGCCACCGCTCACCACCTCCTTCTATCTCATTAATGCTGGGTGGAGCTGGGGGCCCAGCTCATCCCTGGACCCCACCAACCCTACCTCAGCAGGGGGATCAGAGAGTCACCTGTTTCTGCTGAGTAGGGATGGAGCAGCTCCATGGTCACTTCTGTTCTTCCAACACTACCCGGAAGGGTAACTGGAGCCCTGGAGGTGGGGAGTGGGATGGAGATGAGGTGCGTCTGGGGTGGAATGGTGTCATTAGATCAGCTCCCCGCTCTGCCTGCTGAAACCACAGAGGTGGTGTGTGGCTCTTCCACTGGCATTGGCTGGAGTAGGGAGGAAGACGTTACCAAAAAGGCGTTCTCTTCTCAGGTCACGCTTTTCCAGTAGGAACAGGTTTTATTTGGAGCTTTTAGCCTGGGCCTGCTGGGGACTTGGGGTTGGAGGCTTCCACAGCACCCTGTTGAGGATGTATGGGAAACGAGAGGGCAGCTCAGGGAACTCCTCCTCCCAGCGCCTGCCTCTCTCCCACCTTTCAGACACCTCTGTGCTTGCTGTGTTACGACCAGCGCATTTCACTGTAAGAGGGAGGAGCTGGGATGAGCGGGGCCCCCAAGTAATGATTTTATTCTTTACCATTGTACCTGAAGGTCAAAAGGGAACTAAAGGGCATCAGTCCCTGCCCTCAATACCCTCCATCAGGGCCATCATTTTACAGGTGAGAATGTCAAGGCTCAGGAGCTTAAACTTTCCAAAGACTCACAGGGAGGTCAGAGCAGAGCTCAGCCCGGATTCCCAGTCCGGGGCACTGTCCCCTTTGCAGGTCTCTTCTTCTCTCTTCTCTGCCTGACACTTTCCTCCTGTCACCAAATCACACCTCAAGTAAGATGACTGACGAAGCCCCCTTTCTTTGACCCAAGACACCCTGCTTCTCCTATGGTGGCTGCTGCTATTGCTGTGACGGTCACGGTGGTGGTGGTGCGGGTGGTGGCGGTGGCGGTGGCAGTTATGGTGGTGGTGACGTGGTGGTGGTGGTGGCAGCAGTGGTGGTGGTGATGTTGGTGGTAGAGGTGGTGCTGCTGCTGGTGATGGTGCTGGTGGTGGCGGTGGTGGTGATGTGGTGGTGGTGGTGCTGCTGCTGGTGGCTGTGGTGGTTGTGGTGGCAGTGCTGGTAGTGGCGATGGTGATGGTGATAATGGTGCTGGTGGTGGTGGTGATGTGGTGGTGCTGGTGGTTGTGGTGGTGATGTGATGGTGGTGGTGGCGGTGGTGATGTGATGGTGGTGGTGGCGGTGGTGATGGTGATAACAGTGACAGTAGTGGCAGTGCTGGCAGTGGCATCCTGACCTGTCGGTCACCCTTTGGCACCGTGCTGCGGGTGCTGTGCTGTGGGCAGGGAAAGCAGTTCCCAAGTCCCTGATAGACTCCACAGCAGGGGCTTTGTAGCTGCTCTGGTTCTAACTCTGGCTGGAGATCTGGGGGAGTGTCGGGCAGGCTAGGATGCTGCTAGTGAGGAAAGCAGAGTGGGGTGGCCGTTGGGTCCAGCCTTTCCGCCCGCCGCGCCCTTGCTCTGGCCTGGCCTTGTCTGATGTGGGTGACCTGGGCCAGGGCGGGGCGGCCGAGCCTGGGGCTGGAAGAAAAGCCTTCGTCCAGCTCTGAGCTCCTCGGACCCTGCGTGCAAGGAGGCCAAGGAGCGAGTCTGAGCCTGTTTTCCCATCTCTGAGGTATGGGTTCCCACTCCTCACCTCTTTGCAGGGGTCTCCTCAAACCCTCTCCCGCTGCTTCCCATCCCTGAAGCAACACTTAGATTCAAGACATGGAGAAACGCTGCCGGCCAAGGCCCCCTGAGTTCAGTGCTCACAGACAGGAGAGAAGGAGGTGGGGAGCAGAGGCCTGTGGGCCCGCGTGGGCCTGATTCTGGGTGAGAACCACCTTCCCAGTGTCTCTGGCAGAGGCCAGATGCTGTGAGCTCCCCAACTTCCCACCACAGGCCTCTTTCTGGCCCTGCCAGTGACCACTCCTGTCCAGGAGGTCAGCCTGTGTGATGTTGGAGCCCCGGATCCCCCAAGTTCTCGGTTGGACAGTGCTCAGGGCTGCCCCACACGCTACAGCGGCCGTGGTGTGAAGCTCCATCCGCTGCCCCCAAATCCTGCTGCTCTTGGGGATGACAGCTCAGGTTTCTGCGGGCAGGAGCATGTCCATAAGATACTGGCCACGATTGTGGGGTGCCCCCAAAGCCATGTCTCATAGTGGGAACCAGAAAGAGCACTACACCGAGGTGAGGTGAAGGCCAAAGGGTTGTCCCCACACTGAAGCACCTAGTGGGCCACCCCATGGCATGGTCACCTCCTTGTCACAGAGGAGATCCGGAGGCACCTCAACCCCTGGGGCTCCAGTGGCCTAGGCTTCTCGTGGAGGCAGCCATGGGTCTCAGAGAGAATGGGGCCATGAGGCCAGATTGTTTGGGGGGTACTTTGTGCTTCAGGGTTCTTTTCACCTGCACCCAAACCCAGACCTCCTTGTAGACAGTGTGGACACTGGGATGGCCACCACGCATGTCCATGAAGACAACTGTCTGCTCCAAGACATGGCTCATGCCAAGGGCAAGACATCCCTGGTACCTGGCCTATGGGAGCAGGGACCCTCCTTTGCCAGCAAGGTCCAGGTGAGCCCAACAGGACATTAAGGAGCGGCTCCTCCCAGCCCCCAGTGGAGGGGGCAAGAGGGGCTGAAGATGACAGAAGGGGCTGTGTGCTCCCGGGGCCACACCGTCAGGGCAGAGACCCCAAGTCCACAGCCAGGCCTAACAGAGGGGCCGCGTGCAGCCATGACATCCGGGGCCCAGAGAGGAGTGTGGCGATCACAGATGAGCCTGGACACGGCCACACGCGCCCGAGGGGGCCGCCCCCCCTCTGCCGCAAGGCTGTCGTTTCCTCTGGGCAGCGAATCACCTGTCCACCTACGGGGACCTCGGTAGAGCCCTGCACGCTGACAAGCGCTCTTCCCAGGCAGGACTGGTCACTGGGCTCCCAGGGGTGGAGATCAGGCTTCTGCCCACAGCCATTTTTAGGCAGAAAAGTAGACATGAGCAGGTAGAGGCATAAAGCCAGTAAAGCCCATTAAAAGGGACTCAAAGAGCTAACCAGAGTTATGCTCAAAGAGTTATGCTAACTCCCACCAAAGAAGCCCTATAAAACC